TGTGTGTGTGTGTGTGTGTGTGTGTGTGTGTGTGTGTGTGTGTGTGTGTGTGTGTGTGTTTGTGTGTGTGTGTGTGTGTGTGTGTGTGTGTGTGATGGGTGTGTAAACACGGCCACCTCGTAAAGAACGGGAAACAAAGGGTCGTAGGTCTATCATACCGCGGATAGTTAGCAGCAATTTAACATGGGTGGTGCGTTTCAGCCATCAACTCGACAAGGAGGATGTGGGGGGGGAGATTTTGTAAGTGTTAGGGGGGCAGTTCAGTAGTTAGAGTAAGTGATTGAAGTTAGGAATGGTTGTTTGAGGACAGCCATAGGGGGGGTGCACGCCCTGAAGACCGCTTTTCGCCGCTTAGCACCCATAGTGGCTCATTAGAGGGCCAACCTATGGCTCCCATTAGTAGTTGAGGGGTTATGTTAGCGGGTACAACAGAAGTAGACACAATGTTTTTTTTAGGACCATACCTGAAGGAGGAAGTTTTATGGAAAGGACGCGTCGTTAGTCGCCGCCATCGCTTGCAAACTCCGTATGTAGCGGCTCACACGAGTAGCAGATACCTCTGAGTCGTGCGTTAGGAGCCAGGTAATGCCAGGTTAGGAAGAGGTAGTGTCTTGTTGTACGGACGAGCTTGAGGAGCTACTCGTCTTTCAGGGAGAGGGGGAGCTTGTGTAGGTAGTATTTGTATAAGAAGTATGGCATGTGGTGCGCTGCTAGAGCTATGGTTATGCCCGTGCAATGTGTTGCAGATATGTATGTGAGCATAGTAGGCAGCGTTGGGCTGGCGTGTGTGTGTCATAGTGAATGGAAGCTTGCAATCTGCGTAGGACTTGGGGGGTGCGTGCGTACGAGCCGGCAGGGGTTCTTTCTTGGGTGTAGGTTCGGCAAGAGTGAGGGTGGGTGTGTATCTGCTGGTGAGTGGCAGGGGTAGCGGCTGCCGGGGTGCAGTGTTTGTCTGCTATGCATCTATGTGCGGGCTATGCTATGCGCCGACGGATTTTAGGAGTCTGCTTACTTGTTTTTGGTTTACGTAGAGCCATTTCTCAAAGCTTCTAAGTTTGTCCGTATTGTCGAGGATAATACGTTTGTCATCTGGCCGAGATGGCGTAGCTCGGGAAGTCTTTGTCATGTGGGATGGTGGTGAGGTTATGGAGGAGGATCTGTTATTTTAGTTTTGTCTGTTTGTTCAATTCTAGCTTTCGGGTGGGCAGTTCTTCGTATTTTAACATTGAAATTTGCTTTTTAATTTAAAAAATTGTTGTCGTATCGTTTTTGTCGTATCATTGCTGAAACGGTGCGTCTTTTTGTTTTAGTTTGTAATTCAACAGGTGCCTGGAGCTGTATGTTTACTGGTCCATATGCTTGTGCGGTGTGGGGGGTCTGTTTTGATTTTTTTTAGCCGGTCATTCAGAAGACCCATAATTGTTTCTTGCATGTCTGTGTTATTTGTTTACATGTTGTGTGTGTATGTTCTGTAGTTAGAGATATTGGCTATATTTGTCTTGTTGTGGTCAGAGGGAGGTGTTACCGTTGTAGTACTTACGTGCGAGTTTACTGGTGGGTATGTATATGTATTTTCTGCTTTATTTTTATTAATATTTTTTTAATTTATTATTAATTTTAATATATATATATATTATTTATTATAGTTATGTATATTATTTAATTATTATTTTATTATTTTGTTAATTAATTGTTATTTATTAAATAATACTGTGTGTGTTATTATTATTATTATTACTATTATTATTACTATTTTAGTATTTTTTTCTGCATGTGTGCGTAGATGTGTGTGCTTGTGTGTTTGTGTGTGTGTGTACGTGTGTGTGTGTGCATGTGTGTGGGTGTGTGCGGATGTGCATGCTAAATTGAGAGAGTCGGAGTACAGAGTGTGTGTGTGTGTCCCTCCCCGTTCCCTCATAATGGAGGTCCCGTTGGGGTAGGTCCGCAAATGTTGGACCTACCCCAGCTGGGATAGGTCCATCCTCCATCCGAACCAAGTCGGTCTTTTGGCTTTCACACATATACAGAGAATCTTTAGCCTAGTTTTGAGTGTGATGTTCTAGTGTTGTGTTCTGTTTGTTAGAGGTTAGCGTGGTTTTGTAGCTTATGTAGGACTGATTGGGTCGCAGTGAAAGGGTTGGTAACTGCTATGATTTTTGAGTATTTTGTATGTGATGCCGAGCAGTCTGTGTTTTTGGAATCCGTTGAGTTGGAGCAAGTGGATTGTTTGCATTATTTCTACTGCGGCAATGGTGGGTTCCGATACGATTGTCATGATAGTAATAACTTGCGGTATGAGGAGGTTTAAGGACTGCTGTGTTGGTCTATTAGAATCTGCCTGAATGAAGCGTGTTATTGGGAAGTTTAGTTATTTTCGTTTATCATATTTGGTTGTTATATATTGGCCAAAATGTGGGTTGGTGACAAAAATGGTTGTATTCAGGAAGTTCGCTTTCGTCCCTACAGAAAGGTTGTTGATTTGGGTTTTTTGTGTTGTTTGTTCACTTAGGGTTATCGTCATTGTACCGGAAGACGTGTTGGAATAGGTGAAGCAGGTGTCTGTTGTTTTTGCATGTGATTTTTCTCATGAATTTGTACTCGTATTTGAAAAAATAAACGTTGCACCAGACCGGATAGCAGCTTACGCCTATAGAGATACCTAGGACTTATCTCCAGATATTATTTATGAGGGAAGTGTAGGCATTGTTAATGAGCCAGTTGTTGATTTCCTTTACGATGTTGTTGTCGATAGTTAGGTATCCATTAGGGGGGTTCGTATACCAGTCGCAGATTGGTATCCATTGATCTTCTTTTTGGTAGAATCTGCAGGCAAGCTGGTCTTTGTTTCCATATGTCTTCTTGGCTTATTTGAAGGCCAATTTACTGAAGAAATGGATGGCAGCCGATAGGCCATCATGATCTTCGTTGTTATCTGTAGGTATAGTTTCGTAGCACCGTGTTATATCTACAGAGAAAACCGACGTGATTTTTTCCGACAGGTTATATGTATGATCGGGCGTAGAGTCGATTTGCCACCAGTAGGGTACCTTTAGACCTGTTTCGGTCAGGGTTTTATTAGTGAGTTCACCGCAATGTGTTTTTACCATTCGTATTAAGGCCTTGAGTGCAGCAGCGGTTAGGTCTGCGAGCGGGGAGGATATTACATTTGCAGCATTTGTAAGCCATCAGAATGAGTTTTTGTGTTTTTTGTAAGTGGCAAACAGATATGGCAGTTTTTTTTTTCCAATCGGGATATCTGGGAACTTTGCAGTTAGTTGTTCTTCGATTTGTTCACGCAGGTCCGAAGCCTGGATGTTGTGGGGTTCAAAGTCAAGGCTAGACAGCCGTTGCAGAGCGAGGAATCTGATGAGGTTGATGCAAGTGATTACGGCCGTATTGGGTGCCTTGTCGGCACCTGAGATGTAGAAGTGTTTGTTTAGGAAGTTGTATTTCGTGTTTGATTGCATGATCGTAAAGATTAGGTGCTTTATGTGGCTTAATATTTTTGAGGTTGTTTGCAATAATTTTGTCGAAGTCTTCTTTTGCTTTTGTTTCCTGTTGATTGTTGAATGGTGTTGCATGCTTCAGGAGGGTTTCTGTGAAGCGCACCCAGACTTGTTGTGTTGCCATTATAATGTCTTCTTTCTTGGGTATAGCAGGAGGTATGTGATTCAGTCCCTTTCTTAAGAGGTTTTTTAATTCTACATTTCCGATGATTTGTAGGTCTTATGTTGTTACGTGCGGTGGTTCTTGTTGGGGTAGGAGGTCAGCCGGTAGGGTGTTGGTGAATTCGCTGTATCTTGGGTGGTGGCAAAAACATGTTTCCGGGAGTTGCTCAGAGTCTCAGACCATTCTGAGAGGTTGAAGACTTGAAGTCACGGAAAACAGCAGCTAGTTTATAGAGGGTTTTAACAATGTGATTATCATATGTCCAAGAAAAGGTGAGCTTTTCGAGTGTAGGTAGGGCGTTGGGGTTGTGTTTCAGGAGGATGTTTTTGAAGATGTTTTTAAATTTATATCGTTCCATAAGCCGATTGGCGTAGTGGCAGGGGATGACGTGTTTTTCCGGATCTCTTATAGATCTCCAGCCAAGTCTTCCGTCTTCCATGATCTGGAGTCGTTGTGCCTGCACGTACAAGCAGTGTCCATAGTGTAAGCAGCGCATGTTGGGATAGCTGGGGGGACAAGGACCAGGGGGATGAGAGGGAAACAAAAGGTCGGAAGGGGGATGTAGGGGGTGGACAAGAAGTCATAGGAGTGTGGCAGGTCTAAAAAAAAGGTTTTAGAGAGGGTTTTGCTGAGATCAAGATTGGGTCGACAAAAGTACAATAAAAAAAAGAAATTATCGTCAACCAAATAATTTATCGCTCCTCTATTATCAAAATTGCTAAATCTCATACGTTCTATCCAAACTTATTTAGTCATAGTAAAAGAATCTACGCCTGTTCTTCATTCCTCAGGACGGATTTATAGCAGTTTACTTAGGGACCGAATTTCTAGCGGTTCAGACCGTAAGTGCTAGCGAAGGGGGGAACTAGCTTCTAGCGATGCTAGATGAGCCAGACTGATAGTCCGGGCTAAGTCTTCTACAGACCCTTTTCCATGATTCTACAGAGTCTTGCGAGTCAATGTCCAGTGCAGTATGGTCACTGTAGGTTCTTAGCACGGATGAGTTTGCACTACTGGCACCGTAGTTTGTTCGAAGGGCGTCTATTGCAGACACGGGCCGCATCGAAGTGTCCGGAGATAGGGAGTCGACCGTAATCGGACATTGTGGTTTCTCGCCTTCAATGATCTCGTTGTTGCTGACTTGGATGACTTCAGGGTTTGCTGGAGCTGCATGTAGCTAAGAAGAGGCCTGTTGTACCGACCTTTGTGCCCATTGTTCAACGATCTGTCTGGCTGGCGGTGTCCATCCTTACGGGGTGGTCGAGGCGGGGCCTCTAATGATTGATCCATGATGAGGCAATGCACGGATCGGTTGTGTCATGGTCGGAGGCGCTTGTCTTTCTGCAGAGCTTTCCTGCCGTTGCTGTTGTGCCTGCAGCACGTCATGCATGTCCGGTTGCCTTTGGTCATACTGGATACGTTTGCATCTTGATTGCTTTGCACCTTGCCTGCTGCTTTGTGGTGCTTGTTTTTTTTTCGTCTTGTTGCCTCGTCTAGTGTTGCCTCTCTGCGGCGTGGGTAGCGGGTTCATAGCAATGATGAGATCCTGCTCTCGTCTTCGTGCCTGTCTTTCTGCATCCGTGAGGGCGCTGCTGTGCATGGGGGGAAGGTTTGCGAAGAGGATGTTGGTTGTTGTCATGGTTGTCAATCCGTTTGGTGGTGTCGGCGCGAATACCCGTACAAGGGTATCCGCCCTGGTTTTTGCAAGTGGCAGAGAATAGCTTTGGTTTGAAAATTAAATATACCGCGCGAGTCGCCTGTTTGCCAAGTCTAGGCTACGCCATCTGGTAGCGTGAGTGGGGGTTGCCGTTGTATTGCTATCTGTATTAGGTGGCGTTGTGTGGGTGGTTGTGATGTGTGGACCAAGGGGGGTGGGGGTTTGTGAGATATGCGGGTGCAAAAGTGTTGAGTTTGCGGTGGCGAAGTGAGTTGAGTTGATAGCATGGTGGGTTGTCGTGGCGGTGGTAGCAGGTATGTGTTGTTGCGTGCGGCTTGACTGATGCAGGATGGAGGAGGCGACGTCAGTGGAAGTGCGGGAAGGGATGGTGTTTGGGGTGATAAATGCAGGGTGTTGAGGTGTTGGTGTATTAGTAGCATTCGGCGGAGGTGTTTGCAGGTGCTGCGGGGTTTCTGTGGGGGGTGTCGGGGAGAGGGTGGTGAGGGGGGTGGTAGCGGCTTGAGAGGTCCCAAGTCTCATCTGTCTGCATCTCCGTAGCGAGTTGTCTCCGTCATCAGGGAGCGGTGGCCTTCTGTTTGCTGTCTGGGCGAGCAGGCCTTCCACATTCGGGAGCAGAGCAACGATAAATTTGTGTACGAAGGGGACGTCCTTGAAGTCTTCAAAACCAAGGATTCCTTCTACTGTAATCCTTCGGTTCTGACTGATGAGATGCATGATCTTCATCATGTATTCCCTCATGAAGACGAAGGAGACATGTGCGAGGATGGGCTTCTTCCAAGTTGTGCGCAACAGCACTTGGAATTCCAGCATCCTAATTCTATCAGAGGGTGCATGCGGGTCCTTCTTGTCCAGATTTCCGATCACGTACCACAGCATGTGGTCAAACCAGGTGAAGCTCTTCTCGCATTCCTGACAATTGCACTTCAAGTAGGGTCTTCTTGCGTTCCACAGCTTCTTCAGCTCGGGAAGATCGATCGGGAACTTGGGGATGCCCTTCTGAAGTAGCGGCGGCTTCTTGGGGCACTTTCCTTTCTCCATTTCGGATATCGGGAGAAAATCGGCGTCGAGACCTGCTCTGGTTGCTGGGAAGTGGATCGTGCCATTCCTAGCGGCGGTGCGGCAGTTATCGATGTCTGCCGTGCATAGGCCGGCTAGCGCCACGTATGCTTCTATGCTGATAGGTGCAACATAATTGAAAGTGTCCAGCTTCCATAGGTAGTTATGTACGTGCTGGACCGCTTTCTCAGTTCATATGCTAGATGCAAGTGGCAAGAATGAACTGTTCTTGGCAAACTTATGGCTTGCGTCTCTGCCTGCAGTGGTGACGTCAATGTGTGCATTGTCTCTCCTTTCTGCTTCCTTTCTTCTAAAGTACTCAAGTTTCACGAGAGTAAGCGAATTTTTGTTGATATATGAATCAGACAAGGTTTCGTTGCTCTCTGCGGTTGAGACCTGTCCGGCGGTATCGAGGTGTGAGACATCATATCCATTGATCTCGAGAATGATTTTCTCAGCTTTCGCAATGATCAGACTAATCTCTTTGTTTTCGATTGCAGACTTCCTGCAGACCTCTTCGATGTTGCTGGCGAATTCTCGAATCTTGCTATCTAGTTCTTGAGGTCTCGTCTGCATGAAGCAGACGAGCGAGGCCCGATCACTAAAGGAGAGGTTCTCGATAAAAAACAGAGTTTGGCCGTTCGTTGCTTCGTGGACTTGTAGAAGGACGTTGGCAGTAATGGCCAGCATGGCGATTTGACACTGAACGTTGGGTGGCTTCAACGCAGAGAAGGGTCTAATATATGGGGCCAGCTCTGGGTGCCATCCCATTTTGATGTTGTCTTCATCCTGCACGTCGTAAGAAAGCGAGAAAGTGATTAGTTTTGTGAAACTATATTTTTAAAAAAGGTCGTTTTTATTTTTAATTTAGCTAGGCTACCAGCCGGGCCGCCCGGGTCTAGGGTGACCAGCCCGTGCAAGGACCAGGGAAGGTACCAGCAAAAAAAAAAAAAAAA